TTCATTACTTTCTGTTTCTCTGAGTTCAATCGATACTACTGCTTCCACTGACATATTTTCATTACAAACTTCATTGATTTCACGATTCCCTTCAAGCCGACTATCCTCTTCAATTTCGATGTGGTTATTCGCTTGGCATACAGAGATGACAGGGGCCTCTATATTTTGTTCACACGAAGCACTTGATTTTCCGGCTGCTGCCGGTGATTTATATTTTGCGGCGACATACCCCTAAAATTGATGTGAATCTGCATTATCAAAATAAATAAAAAACAAAAAACGTTATTTACGATTATTAACCTATCGTTTGTGTTTAATATATATCACAAGGGATTGTACAGTATATGCAAATATATATGCACATGTGACAAAGGAAAAATAACAAAAAATGTAACAGAAAACAGCAAGAAAAGGTCAACACACCTTAGAGCACACCGGTCATAAGGGAACCCCCATCTATCTCAAACCACGTGAAAAGAAGTTTCAAGTACTCTCAATGAAGGCCACAAAACCACAAAACACTTCAGTCAAACTGAAGTCATTCCAATACTATTACATGGTGAAGAATTGACAATATATATTTACACTTGAAATAATGTAGTGTATTACTATATGTGTTCAGTTAATGAAGAGTAAGAACAGATTGCGTATGTATCTGAAATCAGAAATAAGCAGGAGACGTGGATATATAGAACGAGGAATCAAAATGTTAATTGTGCCTTTCATATGATGATAACATTGCCCGTTGGTAAGAGAGAGGGAGCTCTTTCTAGTATGTTATCCATTACGCAGTAAGTAAAGGACAGAGAGGGCACCAACCTACCTAGTATACGTATGTTTTAGTGTTGTAAGAGTGTATTGTAGTGTATACTTACTGAAAAATGTGTTTCCTTTATAGTTCTACATTGTCGGTTATAGCGTATACATATTCCAACAATTGTCAGTAAAACAATAAGTCCTCCGAGGGATGCAGCAGCTGCGATATACCACGATGTAAAAATGTTCATTCGTTGGAATTGAAAGATGTCGCTAGCAGTGGGCATTGGGTTTACCTCGCATGAATAATTGGAACTGATCAGAACATCCCTTTAAATACAAAGTAAATATCAATATGATAACAAGTAAGAATACTGTATATCGTTATATAAAATAGCAGCAAATGTCAACTGTACAAAACATACACTATTTCATATTTACAGACCTGCTATGATTACTCGGAGAAACCTTCTAATTTCTAGTTCAACAAAACTTCATTCTTTCCGATATTCGTAAATTAAGCATATCAGTCAAGCCGAGTAACTAAGTCAACATTCGAAAATAAAAATCTCAGAAATCGTACATCTTTGATTTCAAAAATAATTTATGAGGTAGTTATTAAGATGATAATACACAATTTTAGGTATTAATTTTGAGTACATCTCGAATCCATTCTCAACAAAGCGTTCTCAAAATAAGTATTCCAAAATATTTGAGTTCGGGGTGATAAAAGTACGTTAAGATATACCGCTCCTTAACAAACTTCTTTGGGAACAAGATATTAATCAAATGCATATTCTTCTTATTTACTCCCTGACACATGCCAACGAATGTAACATATTAAGTAAATATCTCCGTTTTAAATAATTTTGTGAACGTTGTTCTCTACAGGTGCGATTTTTATAATTAAAAAAACAAAATTGAACATTTTGCATTTCTAAATTGATAAGTTTCTTGGAATACAACTTAACCGTTGACGATTTAAGTTATTAATGACATTTCCCTTAGTGATCCCATGCTAAATAGACAGTAACTGGGTCATTGTTTTGTGCTCAACCTTGTTTTCATGACTATTTAAGTGCCCGATAAAGTATAAAATGCGCATGCGTCCAGGTGTTGATAAACTATAAATAGCGAAAACCCAGGGTTTGTCACCACAAGGTAAGCCAGGATGTGTTGAGAGAACAGCTAGTGTTGATATTGAATTTATATGTAGCCAGATAAGTTTCCTTATTGAAATTACATATGGTTATTAGCAATACTTTGTAGGTGCTAAATAATAAAATATTTAGAGTATATATGAGAGAAATTGGTCATTTCGAACCTGTTGAAAAGTTTGTGGCTCTCGGCTACACCGGGGAATTTACTTCCATGAGTACACACATAAATGTGGGGTTCCCCAAGAGGTACGCGACAAGGTGACCTGGCATCAAATGTGCGACTAAATGCTACTATCGAGAAGATAAAATAACGAATACGACAATAAGTTATTGCATGTGACAATTCCGAGCCTTCATCTCACTGAAGTATTTTGAAGTGAAAATAGGATTTTTGTTTTGATACATGGATTCAGGTGAACGTAACTTTATTCTGACAACTAATCAAAACTGAACAAAATTGATTGTACGTAACAGACAATTTATTGTTTTACAATGTTTTGATTGGCTAAACGAATGAAACCAACAAATTATGACATGTAAAATGACAATTTTGAAATGTAAAATTTAAAAATGACAAACACATCCTCCCTATCCACTCTTTGGGAGCCCTAGTAAATTAGTAATATGTACATGCAGCAGTGGTAGAGTGCAGCTTATTATCACACTACGCTTTGTATTCTAAAGCCTGTTGTTTGTAATAACACTGTTCACTCAACGTATGTTTTGTGTGTGGGCAGTCAACGATAATCATTGTTTTATCCCGGTTATATGACCTCGGCAATTATAACAAAACCGTACTAAACGAAAAAACGCAAATAAGAGAAAGCTTTCACACACATATAAAAAATGAACTAGTCTAATCCGCCAGTATAAACTCTGTGCTATACGTAGCCGGGTCAGGCGCACACTTTAAACATGAGTCGACAATTATGTAGGAAATTTCAATTCCAAATGTAAGCGTGTCAACTCCTGTTTTTGCTCAAAATGTAGCCTTTTATTATGATAGATCGCCAAAATCTGCATGTACCTCTCAATGAGGCGACATGTTTTTAAATTTATAGATGCTGAGCTATAAACTCGAAGAAAAATTCAAACCACCCGCTATTATTTTGATTACACAAGACGAAATTTCCACTCCCGGGGAGCACTGTGGTAACACTTTGAAGGAGAATTCTTGAAAAATCGTTCGAATTTTCAAAAAAGGTTTCACGCAGTTGTATTGCTTTGTTTAAGCCTCGACTAATATCATACTCAAATCCGATACCATAATTATAAATTAAAATGAAACATTAAACTCACCAGGTTACATGATAAACCGTTTTGAGAATTGATGATTTGAGTTAATTGTGGATATTTATATAAAATATAAGTCGGCATGTATTCGACCGTTAATGTACACACATGATGTATGCATCAACGTGTGACTTAAATATCAATTCGTGACTATCATATTTGGCTTTCAAAAATTAAGTTGGAAGTGACAGTGGTTGGAGATTAACGAAAACGTCAATCACATCCACATATCCAAACGACGTCAAGTATTAACACTAAACTTTTCGTGCATCACGAACAAGGCAAGGTTCTGTGACCCAGCAATGTGCATTCCGAAAGAAAAAAATTCACAAATATCAACAAATTTCATTGAGTTGGATATATCATTCGAAATCGCAACTTTCGAAATATTTGTTTCAACCAAGAATTGAGAGAACTTAAAACATGTTGTTAGTTTTTTAAACCGCAAATCCTCATTAACGTTCTTTGACAATGATGAATTCATTTGAAAACATGGATTTTCTTGATTATTCTTCAAAACTACCCTTGAAATATAAGTATGTGGGATATTACAGTATAAATTGACACGCATTTGTTTGCTCCATATAATGAAAAAATAATGCAGTACCATCTTTCAATATTTGAAAACAGAAAGTTCATTCTGTATGTAAACAAGAAAAAATACATTTATGGTTGATTCATAATGAAAAATGACAAATAACATACATCTTTTGAAGTAGGGGTATACAGGGACATAGTGGAAATTCAGAAATTTAGGCCATATCTCCAAGATTGCTTCACCAATATGTAACAGAACATCAAAATAATCATTTACACGTTTGCTGGAAGGTTTATTGAAAATAATTTAACAGAGCTTTATTTCAATTGTGGCACCATTCTTAGTTAATATTGATGAACATACGAATATCGAATGTTGACTAAGTTACTTGGCTTGACCGATATATCCTCTCACCTGTATGCAGCAAGAACCTGGAGAATAGCTTCGCTATATCTATCTTTTTTGAGTAGTGGTTCTGCAAGTGTATTGATACAGGTCAGCAACTCCCCTGTGAAAGTTGTTCTCAAACCCTCGCCTATTGATGTGCACATCTTTAGAAATACAAGAGATGTACTAAATGAACGGAAACTGTGTAGCTGTTTTCGGATTTTAAAATAAATTTCGTTTTTACTTACCAAGATTCGTTGGTATTGCATAAGGCAATGTATAACATAGTAATTATGATATAATGTAGTATAATATTTTCATAATCTAGTCCAGTCCAGTCCAGTCCAGTCCAATGTAGTCTGGCTTAGTCTAGTCTAAGAATATTGTTTGACTGACTAATAACTAATTTTGGGAAGCTTCTCCCTTGTCAAACATACCTTTTTATCTGAAGTAGACACTAATATGCCTATGGTGTCGTCACAGGCATATATACCTTCAAATGATGTATTGCGTATGTGTGATATGAATATATCCCATGGATCAACACGGTCAGTGTCACGCATGGAATACCTATAAAATTCAGTGGTTTATGTATTATTGTTGTTTGAAACATATATATGAGGGCTTTGAAAAACATACATACATACTTTGGTAGATTACGAAATCCCAGTAGTGGTAACTGTTCATATAGTACAATCATATAGCACAATCATATAGCACAATCACAACAATGTATCGTTTCTAATTCTGAACTTAATTTGTGGTTACCTTTCTATTGCAGGGATGATTGCTATAAATACTTTTACTCCTTCGTCACAATTTACTGTTTCATTGCATGTACATTGAGTGCTGCTGTGTATTCGTATGTCCTCTTGAGCACCATCCACTGCTTTGGCTACAGACGTATATGATAAGAGGTAAAACATCCGTTTCTACGGAATTTATTGAACCGAAGGTTGTAACCAAGGAAATCATGAACTCATTGTAAATGTGTATATATGTCACGTTTTGAGATATTTGTATGATCGTATAATATGAGACTATAATAGGCCCATTCTCTACTAATACCATTAGTTCATACCAGAAAAAAGGCAGTTCTTTAAGAAAAATTGCCTTACCAAAATCATTTACTAAAAATCATATTATATCAAACCTGTTCAAACTTTAATCTGATAATTAAGTTCATTATTATTTCATACCTTCATGCTCTGATAAAAGTTTATTTGGATCGCATAATAAAGATGGCGCTCGTCTCCCACATCTCCGAGGTTCTTCCTGTGGATTGGGGAAATTATCTTTAGTCCATTTCAATCTAAGCCAAAAAGTGTTTTATCAAACAATATTCATTGAAACAAGAACAACTTAATCCGCTTCAACAAATTCTACATGTAGGTTGTAAACATTCATTACAGGAGCGGATCTGGATACTAACGGGGGGGGGGGGATTTCGGGCCCCTAAAACCCAAAATTCGGCCCAAATTTTGAAAGACCAATTTTCTTGAATATTTGGAAAAAATAGAAAGGGCCCAGTAATAGGGGACATAAAAGGTTTTCGGGCCAACGTTTTCTTTTTTTGGGGGGGTGTGCATTCTGGGTCCACCCTAGGGTCCATTTACCCTTTGCATTCGTTTGACTTCACTTCGTAAAAGAGAGCTTCGTCTTCACTCTTTCAAACTAAAATAAATCTGTGAACTCACCGCGCCAATCAGTGTTCGTCGGCCAAATTTGACCGACGTTCTATATATGGTCATTCATTCTGACGTCATCGTTGGGCCCGGAATTGACCAATGACATGCGCATATTTAATTAGAACGCATTTGGCGTGTGTTTCTTCAAGCTCGCTGAATGGTGGAAGAAAGGTCAGCGCATAGGTCAGAAGTGATTTATTACTCAAACTGTCACCGGTACCCGTCGTGAGGGCGGAGCTACTAAACTGTAATATGGTCTCTACTAGGCAGAGTGTAGTTTAACTAGACTCTGCACGCAGGGTAGGGTCCATTAAGAGAAGAAACCTAACTTTTAAATGTTGAATACTTCTGTCTGGTCTGGCTGAATGGCAGAAGGTTATCTTGAAAAGGAATCAGGAAATGAGTTTAACAGCAACAGGTCATAAAAGGTATATCATTAGAAGCTAATGTCTATATTTCATTTCATCTAATCGTGCGGTTTAGTGGAGGAGTAAATTTTAACACTGATTGAATGAAAATGCTTTGTTGTAGAGAACCAAATGGCAACATTCTTGATAATTTACCAATTAAGGATGTTGTCCCGGGGTCCTTTTCGGAATTTTTGATTGACCTGTCGATCGTGTATGTAATCAGTTACTGAATAAACTATGGCGGTGTAAATAGATGGACAGAAAGCGAAATTCCTGAAAACTGTATGTTGATTAAATAATAATTGGGAAAAGTATAACATTTGCCCCACTACTTATTGTTAGATGTTCATCTGAGTCATGATCAAGGAACACATTCGTAATGGTGTTTATTTTCTAACCTTCCTTCCCGGATGTATATACCAAACGAAACGCTATCAAAAAATAATGCCGGGGATAGCACTTATAATCTACAGATCTTAATATTATTTACATACACTTTGTGATCAGTCTGTATGTTCAATGATAAATGGAAAAAAACTTAAGATTATTACTAACTTAGGTTGTAAGTCACGCCAATGATTGGGTTTGGTGTCCAGTGTGCTTTTGTCTTTTAAGCAGTCGTTTCTGGTTGAATTCAATTTATCATCTTCTTTCAGATAAGAGAGAATCCTTCTGCAAAAATCATCGTTTATAAAATTAATACAAACAACTTTTTGAGTTTACTCGATAGATGTTTGTTCCAAAGCACACGCCGAGATATTGAGAAAATACTTGAAAACTATGTTCGCCAGTTTTTCTCGAAATGGCATGGTTGTGAATGATATACCTTATGGTCTTGCTGCTTCGGGTCGTGATTATGATTCTTGGATTATGATTGGTTGGAAAATGTTTTAAGACAATTTAATATATTTACTGCACTTACCCATACGATACGATTGTCTCTTTCAGTGCCTTCCCAATAGCACCAGCAGACAGTAAGGGACGCACAGAGGAAAGAACGTCATCTATACAGGCTGGTTTTAATTTGGTATTTAGTCTCTCTGATACCACTGTGTATATCTATAATTATGTTGTTTTTTATTCACTTCACCTTTGTAAACTATTCATAAATAAAAAGGCGTTTACATGTAGTCTGATTGAAAAGTATAATGTAAGACTGGTTTGCATAATTTTGGAGAATATAATATCACAAAAACGGTTAACAAAAATATTTCTTACCAGTTGATCAAACTTAGAAAGGATAATTGTGATATCATCTTTGCAATTTCCAAACTTCCAGTCCGCTTTCTTGTGAAGTGCATTTCCAAAGGTTTCCATCGTCAGACGCTTGTTTTTCAAGGTGTCATTCAACCTGGAAAACACAATGTAGAAACGATACAAAGCGATCAGCTTGTGAAACTGCAGTACAAAAGGTCAAATTACATAAGAAGTATATATCTAGCGGTTATTAGCTCCAGTGTTTTCAAAAGTATTAAAGCAAGTGGGCGCAGCACCCACCTGAAAATCCATTTGCATCCTTACCCACTTGAAAATGAGAAGAATATACATCGTATTTTGACTAATTTGGGTCTTTATTGTGAAAATGAGAAGTTTGTACCCACTTGAGAAAAAATCCTCTAGAGAACCCTGAGCTATACGCCTAAGAACCCTTGTTTGGACGATTTGGTAATCGTTTTCTGTCGCCAGACTGATTATGTTTATACTTGAGCCAGTATGCCTCACTCTACTAATTGAAAAACAATCATAGTAGATGAATGGGGTGCATTGTTTATAATTTCTTCGGCGTTTCAGATATGACTCTTAGTAAAGGCATCATCGAGTTACTCAAGGATTCACCTCTGTCAATAAATGATAGTTGAGGCGATTTGTACTTCACCTTTTTGTTTTTTGTGTCAAATTATTAGACTGGACATCCAAATAAAATATAACCTCATTTTGCTTTATCATCTTGAGATATTAGGCTAACCATGAAACCATTACTGATTCGTTGTTTGAATACACGAGTTATCCTTTTTGGATTCTACGGGTTGGATCTGATGATCCGAGATAAGGACTATCAAGGGAATATTTAATTTGAAATTAGGTCTGTTACCGAATGGTTTTGGTCTTTACAAAATTAACATCTATTGATTCCCAGCTATGATATGTGAGGGAAATGGCTGTAAAACGAACATAGATATTTTATCCTTGGTTCAGTGTAACATCCGCAGTATGGCTATGTACATTATTGATTCGTTTTTATGAAGAAGAAAAAACGTTTCCTGTAATTAGCCCTAGGGTTCGGGGCGATTAAAAATTTAAGACTGTATAGATGAGAGAGGACGCTCTCTTTAAGGATTTTAAAGGATCACGTTAGAAACAACAAAAATAGCTTATTCAAATAATTGATTGTAATTCACGTTTTGACATAAGTTTTCCATCTTGAGCTTACCCATCAGAAAGCGATAAGCTCGACAATAAGGCCACTGATATAGCAGGTCCCCGCATTAAGTCTAATTTTGCGCACTTCTTCCTTCTACAGGCACACGTACCATTCGCTCTTATGTATTCTATAGCCATATCCAGTATAACTGCTACAAGAAACAGATACATATCATATGATTTGATACAGTAGGTATATGTTTTAATGGAAATATATTCCTTGATACCAATCTTGGCGTATAGTAGGCATACATGTAACTATCAAAACTATTTTCCATGTTTTAAAGTGCAACAATAAAAACTATTTTCCATGTTTTAAAGTGCCGATTAACTAGCTTCTTACCATTATTCTCTGATATGACTCGATCTGGGTCACAGACATAAGACCTCCTTCCAGATCTCCCGCATTCGATCACGTGGTAATACGGGTTAGGGTATGACCCGACATCCCATTCGCGCACAACCGTGGTCAGTTGTGTGGTTAGGAGTGTATTTACCATGTTGGTCATACAAACCAAAGTGCATAATAACAAATTATTGTATATGTCAGTCATTTTACTTGCTATAATATCCAAGAAAAACAAAATCTAAATTACTGTCTTTAATCAGAACACTTGATTTTATCCCAATTGACATGACACTTGTCTGCATGAAGCTTATCTATGCGTGTTTTCACTCTATTTTGTTACCCTTGTTGATGTATAAGTTATCACATACCACGTTTTTCCAGTGTTGTCCTTCCATCACGTTCATTTACTTAATCTGTCACCGCGATTGTTGTTATTTCATTCAGCTATCCGGTTAACATTATTGTCATATCGATCTATACCAAATCCATATGTGTTCGGGTAGTTCCAGCAACATTTTCTGTCACAATTTCTGATCGTAAAAACCATATCTTTATGGTAACCATATTGTTATGACTTTTTCAAAGAGGACAAACACTTAAAGAATGCAGATGGCCATTTTCTATTTACTTTTTAATTATGCTCTGCTTTATCTACGGGAAAGGTATCACTCCTATTCATATTTCTGAATTCATCTGTAATGTTCTGTAAGATAAGGTGTCTACCTACCTTCGCCATTGATACCATGCCATATGTTTTTGCAAGGTTTTATTCTATTTGATTGCACTTCTATGAATGTGTCTAACAAGGACTACACGCTTTTTTTTATTTCAGTCCATTTTTCCCCTCTTGTACTCGTTCCTTTAATTCAAAATATATGCCAGCGTGATTTATTTCTTTAAATTAGTCCCAAATCGATAATTCATTCAATATGTCAACGGTCGTTTTGTAAAATGAAATCACAGTGATGAGTTATCGTTCTATGACCATAGATTTCAATTAATAAATCGTTTGCATCAAAAATCCTTCCATTGCCCTAATCTGAGCAGCTCACTCTGCCAACTGTTCGTGCGATGATAAAACAATTCATTAAAAGTTATTTGGTGGATGTCGTACGTAAAACGGGAAACTATAGATTATAAACTGCGTCGGAATATAGGCGATTCTACATAAATATAAAATGCCCTCACATCAACGTTACATAAGGTGTTATAGATTGCCGATTGCCGACAATAACAAATAAATCAACAGCGACGCCGATCATAACATCGAAACATATTTAAAGTAAAAGATTTAATAAATGAAAATGGAGATTTTCTAGGATACGAAGAATTCACCCTAAAATATGATATCTTGACACCCTTCGTTACATACTACGGCATAATACACGCAATTCCACGCTCGTGGAAAACTCTCTTAAAAAACGAAAATGATAATATCAATACACTAGGAGTTGATGACTTACAAATCAAAAATTCAATTATAAATATCAAACATATTAGTACCAAAAGAATATATTGGCTCATCGTACAAAACAAATTTAAGGAACCCGTAGGAAAACGATATTTCAATGAAAAATTTGACCTGACAGAACAAGAGTGGAAATCTATTTTTAGACTACCTTTTCAAGTTGCGCGAGAGCCAAAGATCCAAAGTTTCCAATACAAACTACTACTTAACCTCACCCCTTGTAACTTATTTCTGTTCAACAGAAAAATTAAAGAGTCTAATCTATGTGATAAATGCAATCGTGGTGCAGTAGATGACACCCAACACTTCTATATAGAATGCGCGACAGTCGCGAACTTTTGGAATGAAATATCCGTCCTATTTGACAATATACTTTTGAGAGACCGGGATATATTATTAGGAAAAATAGGCAACTGTGACGATCGCGATACAATTCTAAATTATTGTTTGCTATACGCGAAAAACTACATTCACAACTCCAAAATTGGAAACTACGACATTAGTGTGAACGGTTTTAAAAATACTTTAAGAAACAAAATTAAAGATGAATTAAAAATATCTACAGAAAACAAAAACCGGCAACTTTTTATCGGGAAATGGAACTCAATACTGAATAAATTAGACATACCATTTTAATTACAACAATGTATCGTTGCACAAACCTGTATTTTATTATTTTATAATTTTGCTGTCTGTACTGTGTATCTTTTTTGCTTTTTTATTCGAAATGAGATCATGTAACTGTTATGTGCCTTAACTCTATATTATCAAATTGTCTTTACTATCACCAATGTATGCACATGTATGTAAATTTATAGTGTGAGAAATAAATAATGAATATTAAAAAAAAAAAAAAAAAAGACGCCGATCACAGACTGCGGCCAGTGGTAGGGGTTGTAGTGATTCAGAAAATACTAAAATGACTGTGATTGTGACAATTTGCTAGTTTAGCTATAATAACAGGGCATAACAGGATTACTTGCAAAAAAATTGAATATGAAAATCAGCTGCAGAACATGACCATTTATCTCAATTAAATGATTCTAAAATTTATCTCTCTATTTAATCTCTTGTGATCTACCGAACGTGTTAAAAAGCAATCCATATTTCTTTGCAAAACTGTTGAGTTAAAATTATATAGTTTCTTGTCCATAAAAGAACAAAATAACACAGTTATGATCATCCATGACATTTTGTTTGTCATGTTATTAAAATGTAAGATTCAATTTGCTGATCTCGTGAAGTGATAACGATTTATTTGTTCACTTTTCCCCTATGTTCAAAACAGAAGATACTATGGTAGGTAAAACACAGTTTGGATTTTATTAGCTTATGGTTTTGTTTGAATGACAAAGTCAGATCAATGAAGATCGAGTTACAGCGTAATCGCTGATTTCTTAATGTTTTCTAAGTAAACATTCGTTAATCGATATATAGAGACACAATTAAGCATTTAACAGTGAAAATCTCACTCATGTACTTTGAAGGAGTTTAATAGTTGAACATGTACAATGATGTGTTATAATAATCTCTTCGTATACATGCTTTCAGTGAAAAAACATATAATTTGAAAAAAACTGTTTTAGGAGCTCAATTAGTGAGCCTTTATGGGCATTACTCGGCCTTTCAAGGCCTTGTTTTTTAGATCCTAGACCATATAATCAAGAAAATGGACCTTAAATATTCAAAATGTTTCCAATTTTCCCTCTATTTTTGCTATATTAAGTCACGCAAATGTGTTTATCTTACCTGTTGAGCGCCATCTTTGCGAAGGAGCTTCTACACGACGTATAACGATCACTCGCAACAACATTCGACAAACAGTGCAAAATGATTTGATAATAGTAAATAGATGGCGGAATTCAAAGTGGTCCAGTGTTTGCATTACTTCATGAAATCCCTTGATGAAATCCTAATAACAATCAATGAACTGACATCTATATACAGAAAATCAGATTATTTTGAGTTATATAATTCTATTGCTCCGAACCGGTCCGCCTTCTCGCTGCAAGCAGGAGGAAATTCTTTGTCACAAAGTTTGGCATTTTTTATAAAATCAAACGCGCGTCATTGAAACTCACAAGATGTAAATAGCATGTCATTTACATCATACCTTGATGGGGAAAATAGATCTAATATGTTAGAAGTACTAAATAAAAGTTATCGTGAAAATGAGACAGTCGTTCTCGAGAGAAAAGAGCATAAATGCGCATTTAGAGAGTTTTGGTCCGTTTTAAAATCTGTAAAAAATTGGGGTACTTAAAAGCATCGGGAGGCATCATATATTTCAAATTAGAGACGAGGAAGTCAATATTGAGCAAGTTATGGCTGTTTTAAATTCAAATAAAACCGTTAACCCGTACCGGTCCAGCTTTTGACCCGTACCGGTCAATTTTCGTTAGCTGCGTATCAAGGGTTAGAAAGGGAATGATTTGAGTGAAAAATATTCTAAAATGGAAACATTTTTTTATTTAGCTTACTTACCACATATTATTCTCTCTTAAAGTTGACACCAATTCTAAGCCAAAAAGGCCCCAAGAATGTGATAAAATTCAAGCATTGTAATACAACTTCAATAAAAGACATCTTTAATTAATATTTGACAAGTTACATAAAAATGACGTTTTTATAAATCAATGATGCCATGCTATGGAATGACATAACACAAACACTTTTTGTTTTCTTATCACTTACAGGGCATTATTGAAAATATTTTCTTACACGTTTTTATTAAACCATGATACGTGATAAAACAATAGCCAGCGGCTGAAGTGTTTATGTAACCATGACAGGTAGTTCCTGGAGTCGGATATTCCCGGATACGGTGTAAAAATATAAAACTGAGTTATCCTGGACTTGGTAGACGTGAGAGACTTACAAATCTTACAAAATGTACCTGGCGACATTAACAATTTATTAGTGGGGTTTGGAAAGGATGGATATGGTGCTTGAAAAACTCTATAGACACACCGATTTAAACGGATAAAATTAACTGTTATTATGCTTGATACAAGAAATACGTAATTGTTTAAGTTTTGATTTTTTTCAATTTCCAACTGCCATTATTATAAGCATTGCTTGCATAAGTAATGGCTTTTGCAGAAACACCTTGAACCAATGTTACATCAGCTTGGTATTGAACTTAAAGCGCAAAGTAGTCGATGTCAGCGTAATCCATTATCTGAGTATCTTGTAGGTTCATTGTCCTTAGATATAGTTCAGGACCAGATAAAATTATATTAATAGCGTCTATATATTGACGCATTCTACTATTTTTAACCCGTTTTAGCACATATCACCGCCAGTATTTTTAACAGTACGTTGCCATTTAATGCCAGCACGTGAACCATTTTTAGCGTATTTTTACGCTTGTCCATGACAGTTTTAACTGTATAACATAAATTATGTATTAACACAATATATAAGTATAATAATGTTAAGCCTTATTTAACGCCTGCATTTATAACAGTTTTAGCCTATTTAACGCCAGTATTTCTACACTATATAGCCGGGCGTTCGTTGTGATCAAGAAGAGTTACCTGTTTAACCTAACAAGCAAAGAACATTAGTTCAACAATTATACAAACATTTTGAGGTGAAGATAGTTTTTCGATAATTTTATTCTTGATATCGTATCTTTGACCTATACTTTGTCTCCGCTTTCTTTGCCATACATTTAAATGAAGATTCTTACCACGACTAGTTCACCTTAAATAAATACTAAAGATGGCGCAGTTATATGACTTACTTTTATATAGAATAACAAACTAAGGAATACCCATTTGATATAAATTATTGATTTAATGATAATATCCAATAAGATGAAACACGAGACAAAATCATTGGCAACATTAAAAGATATATAGTGTTTCAACAAACGAAGTTTTAAAGTACTTGAAGTGCATGTAGTATGCACTGGCGGTTTCAGGGGGGGGGTGCACTGTGCTCCCCCCTGGCTGGGTCCAGACATTATTTTTATTTTAGGGCCCGTAAATGTTTGGGCTCGCAAATTTTGTAGGGCCTCAAAAAACAGCGTATAGTTCTTCGAGATAGTTGTTCACTGACTTACCTTGTATTTGCGAATGCAACTCTTGGCTGTCGGCTCCCGGATTAACCTACTGTTTTATGACAAACTCATTTAAATATGAATAGTTCCTTCTACTATTCCATTCATATTTAAATTATTTTGTCATACACTAGTAGGTTAATCTGGTAGCCGACAGACGTTGTTTGCATTCGCGAATACAAACTTATCCGTTGCAAGTGGAGTAACATTCGCATGACAGCAGAACATGGAGCACCGTCATAAGCAGTATGCTCTTACAGATATGTAAGTTTATAGTAAGTGTGTAAAAACTAGACTAAATCTTCAAAAAACAAAATATATAATTGATTTCAAATCCCCCCCCCCTTGTGGTATCCCGCTTCTTCAACAGGCAAGCATTATTGGTACACCCCGTACTTGTGTCGATCGATAGCGTTCACGTTTCGTATTGCTGATAACATGTTCCCGGGAGGGTGTTGTCACGCTTTGAACAGGGGGGAGGAGCCTAGGATGACACGTGACGTAAACCTGATCATTTCATTTGTGCCCTGTAGTTGTAGAATGTTTGTTCAAGCTTGATGCAGGCTGTATTGATTTAATGGTGTTGTTTTCAGACGCACTTTTAGTTTTTATCAAATCTCTGGAAGACAAATGTTTCGAAGGCCTTTTTGAGGAATTGTAACCAATATGCCATGAATTTATCTTTGAGTTTACTTGTTTGTTACTGCTTGGAGCCACTGATTGATTCGAATCCGAATTACCTTGTTTATTGTTTAACAGATTCACCCCAAGGTGGTGATAGCGTTCAGTGACTTGTAAAGTGTTTTGATTACCGTAAACTAGTTTAGGATTGACAAAGTCATCGTTTCCATGTGTGTGCATCTGAGGATTGGTGCTAGAAAATGTATGGGTGGTCTCAGTAGAAAAACGAACGTGACGAGATTTAGGTCCATCATTATCCCTTCCACTTATGATCGTGTCCGTACGGTCCAATCGAGATACATCTACATAGAAATAATCAACACCTGGTGTGTGACAATCAATTCTGTCATTTGGAGAATCAGATATAAACTTATTAGCGTAGTTAAAAAGACGTAGTTTAGACTTGTAGAACGCATTTGATTTTTTGGAGGTATTTGGTTTCTCTGTAGGCCTATCACCCATATATTCAGCGTGTTTTTGCGTTCTTGCCAAGCATTTCGTTCTTTTCGTATTTTTAGATATAGACCCTCGGCTTTGTAAAGTCTCAGGTTTATTATAAACAATGGTGTCTAAAAGGTTATCGCTGTTGTTCTTTGAATTTCTTGAATCGGGAGACTGGGGATATGATATGGAGCTACTGACATTTGAAGAAACAATCGATTCCGTGTCATTTTTAGGAATTGCGGATAATTTGTGTTGATCTTTCCCAACTGTTATCGAGTCGCCCCCGAGGCCAGCTTTGCCATTGTCAGGGACGTCAAATGGCGGGCAATTTGAAGATGAGGCGAGATCCTGGGAATATGGGGAATAGTAGGACATATTTGAAGTCCTTGGACTTGTATCATAGGATGGGATCGACATAGATGAGTCCGAATTGTAAACTGCTGACAAATGTGATAAAACAGAATCCCTCGTTTGCTCTAGAACGGGCATGCCTACCTCTGACTGCTCCTTTGAGTTTCGACCAGAAGTGGTACTACCCCGAGAAGGAACTGTTCCGTTTTGTTGATCAACACCCTTCTCTGTTATCGTAGATAATGTTGTTATTTGCACAGCGTTGGTGTGCTCTTCCATGCAAACACGTTGCGATTCTAACGGCATAGATTCGGCCTCGATGGCGCAAGAATCAGGAAATCCTATCTCAGTTCGTCCTCGTCTTTTTATTAATAGCACCGGTGATTCTGCACTGTCAGCAAGTTCAACCAACCCAGATGGCTTCGGATCAGTGTCTGTAATTTCATTTTCATTTTTAAGGTTTTCACTACTAGTATTTTCTTCTGTTTTACAGTCGTTGGTTTTGTCGTTTCGTAAACTTGTTCGACTATCTTCTGTATTCTCCGTACGTTTGCCATTACTACGTTCATTATTATTGACAGTTGAGTCCGATGGATCTTTCGAAGTAATTATGGCATCAAAAATATTTTCATCGTCAAAGTTATTTGAGTTATTTTGTGGAGTCTCCAAATCGTCCTTAATAACGTGCGTATTAATACAATAATCTCTGTCCGTATCCCCGGGAGATGGCGATAGATTTCTTTCGAATTCATAAATGTGTTCGTTAATATCCATAGTTTTGAATATTTTGACAAGGTATTCGGAGCGGTCAAACCCAGATGTTGCCATAGCCAAGTTACTCTGTACTCCAAATTTTCGAATTTCGCTTGTTGAACTTTTGTATACACCATATATTGATATAAATCTCAGTAGCGCAAAATGCTGAATAACTAAATATCTGACTCTTGATTTCGATTATCGATACGGGGGATTGCATATTTGTGTTCATATCATCCAGCTAACGGCGATAATGGGAAATTGAAGGCTTCATTTACAAAAATAAATATTGACATAAAAGATTTTTATTGCGGTTCTGTGTATCTCCTGGTCAGTTTAAACACTCCACTAGCATCACCTTGTAGCTACACGCATAAGTTTCACGAACGAGCATTGCTAAATTATGTTGTTAGTACCTCAGTTGAAATACTCGATTTTGATTGGTCAACGAGCGGTGAATTATTTTAACTGTACACCGCGCAATGCATTGCCGGTGAATAATATTCCCAGCATTCCACTAAAATGACGTCATTATCAGACGATAAAATGGCCGCCGCTAGCACTAGCCGTTTCAAAAATGTTGAAGATGAGGATATTATTAGTCTCTTAGAGAGTAAAGACAGTCAAAATACGAAGAAAAATCTAAAACTTTGTACAAAGCTTTTAGTGGACTTCGCCCAGGAGAGTAATTTGACTCCATTGAGTGAACTTACTGCCGATATACTGAAATACAACATGAACGTCTCGAGGGTCTGGATCCAACTTCAAGTCAACTTCAAGGGTCAGAAAAATCTAAGATATTCTTCGGACTAACAAAACAATTATAGACCTCTCCATTCGGTTTACTGTCAAAATTATATCCCGAGACTGTAAACCTCGACCTACGGTCTCGGTTTACAGTCTCGGGATATAATTTTGACAGTAAACCTCTGGAGAGGTCAATAATTGTATATTATATCATCTTATCTTTAATCGATCGAGGATGAAGTCGGTTTGTCTTATGTGGTTGATCTCTAAGTTCCTCTACTGCTCAGTAGCTTGAAAAGAAACTTATCTTAATTTGTCATTTGTTTGATAGAGATTCTCATATGTCATACTATGTCCCGATCTCACGTCATTTACAGAAATACCAGCTAGAAATGGTACATCATTATCTATTTTTCGGGAGACTCTTGAAGAATGCTTTTAACATGATACATACCCTGTTCTAATCTATATATCCACGTGGTACTAAGTCTCCGGGGCTTATCGAAACCAAAACGCCCCGCAAAACCGTAAATTTGAATTTTAAATCTACCCTGTCTTTGGAAAATCGATGAATTTGAGTCTCACACTACACCGGTTTTCTTCAAACTTAATTATTCCATTAAATCCTTCACAGAAATGTATAGATAAGGTGTATAGATACTAGGCTTTTAGGCTTTTATTATCTTTTTGAAAATCAAAACTATAAAAAAGTTATTAAGACTTATTCTATCTATATATTCAACTGCAACTTAACGTTGAAAATTTATGTTTTGTATTTATATTGTTTTATTTATATAGCAAACATTTTACAACTTGTGTCTGTTTTTACTAAGAAAAAACTGATAAAAATATGGCGGGTTACAAAAACTCTCTTGATTTCAATATTCAAAGTTATGTTTTTTAGTGAGATTCCACTAGATTTTTTTATAATTTCATAAAAACGTAGTCCTTGTAAGCCGCCACTACATAATAATACTATTATTTTAAGTTCAATTGCATTGTTATGCAAGAATTGGGACAAGGTAATATAATTTGCCCCATTTAGCATTCTTTTCTCCCAAAATATTTTTTGACGTTGTAAAATTGATTAGGGTACATTTGATAACATTCTAAAATGATATGAGCGAAACAAAGGATAACATAGCCCGTATTTAATGATTAGTCAAGTTTAACATATTTAGTGGTAAGTTTGACTTTTTCCTTTGAACATGCGTGACATCAAATTGTCCCATCTCGGCTTTTCCCCGTGAGTTTTAGTAGACTGAATCCAGTGAAGAAAAGACGACAAATAAACTTTGAAAAAATAAATTACATTATACAATCATAAAAATACTCATGAACTCAAGATTCCAATGATATTTCACACGACTATCATCCTTTCTTAGATCTTTAGTTATTATTTTAATATGTGCGTGACATATAAACTAATAATTTGTCCCGTTATTCAGAGAAGCGGATAGTCAATTAATTATTAACGCGTTCATATTCAATTTTGTTATTTAATTTCAATTTGTTACCCTAGTAACACTTATAATCCACCGTTCTTGTTGGTTTAATGACTAAAATGCATTATATGATCTGAAAGCCCGTGTCTAAATCTACAAAATAATGTTTACTTGTGGATTAAATGACAATTGAGGACACCTCAAAGCATAAACAGGCGAGTGTTTTAGCATTATTTCCACTGTTCGCAACGTAAATGAACATGGGAATGAGAATGTAAATTCAAGTATCTGTAAATTCACAGATGTGTTACTACTGCTGTGAGCAATCGACCCAGGGGGTTCCACTCCGATATACCTCTTATTACCTATGTACTGCGCCAAAGACCCCTTTTGAGCAATTTTTCATGTCAATGTCCTCTCAAGATAGAAGGTTTCCATGTTTTAATCCTCTCAGACTTATAAAAGGCAATTGTAATATGTCAAATTCCTCTTGAGTTTGCTGGGACTAAAAGCTAAATATTGTTGAATTAAAAAATTCAGTTTCCGGTGATTTGTTCCAGACCTTGGCAACTGGTTTAACGAATTAGATATCATTTTTTGTTGAAAATTGAATTTTGACCTAAAAATGGAACTTGCTTCGGCAATTTTTCCATGTTTTTTTTCTAAGATTTGCCAGTTTCCATTGTTTATGCCCAGAGCTAAAATTAACCGTGCTGCACATACCTACCCGAGTTATTTAAAGTGAACCCCCAGGCAATCGACCTGCATTGATGCGACTTTTAGTTGGTAGAGATATAGATTTCTCACGAGGTTAAATTAAACTCTCTGTCGCTTTTAATTACATTCAGTCAGTACATGACAATCAAATTAGATCCCGTTGCTCCGACAATGGGAAAATATTTTCCTCGACATCCGATCAATCGAGAGCTTTCGATGCTGCCAAGTAAAAATAAAATAAATTACGCAATTTTCCAATACACAAAGAGAGCTGTAGGGGTATCAACTTTATACTATATACTCTTCGAAACATACATTTTTTTGAATTTGCAATCATAAATGACCTGTGTCGACCTATGATCGTTTTTAAAATGTTATAGTGTATTCATTCTTGAGTATTATTTTCTCTTTTCAAAAAGCATTTAGAGTCTGAGGTCTAATGTTCACTGGTGATCTACTCGATAGCGCTGGTTACCGAAACCGGTTAATTTCGGTAACAAAATATCGAAACCTCGAAGGAACAATTTTTCTTTTTCCTTAATTCACGTGATTTAGGCTGAATCCGACATTTTGTTACGAACTGTAACCAGCGTAATCGAGTGGATCCCCAGTGATGTTCGTGTTGCAACCATCGTGCCAATAATAGTTATCGGCCTAGTCCTTGCGACCGGCCTAGTTATTTTTAAATGTTTGAAGCACAAGGTAGTGCAAAAAATGTCGTTATGAATTGTAAGTTAGTTGGGATTGTGTGCACGACAGTGCGTCAGCATTAGCTTTTTAGTCATCATACATTTCGCATACATACATTTTTTAGTAGGAAATAAATGTTTATCTCCAACACTCGAGAGAATAATATTGTGACAGTGTTATTTTTCAACTTTAAGAGTTTCACAAGCTTTACAGTATCACCATCTTATCTTATTTTTATTTCCTTGTATTCCTTCTTTTGTGAGAGTGAAAAGTCCATTATTCCCGTGTTTCAAAAATATAATTTGGTTTTCATTTTTGATAGCGTTTGGTTTTGTGTCTTGATATCTTAATTAGTATCTTCAGTAACAATATTGATCATTCAAAAATGGGACGCTTATTTTCTGTAAGCTGCCATCTTTAAGATTTAATACAGGAAGTATCATCGACTATAAATTGTACATAGCGTTTTTGTAAAATTAGAATATCCATGTCTTTGCACCTCCCTTGAGAAATACTTTATTTTAAAGAATGGGTCTACTAAAACAGAAGCCGAGCCTAGTATTTTTTGAGGATAGGTATTTTGGCATACGGGATGGTTGGAGATCTCGTTGCTTCAATACTGGATAGAACGAGACCTTGCTGCCAAGTATGGCAATAGACCCCGCAGCTCTTAACCAATCAGATTTGAGTATTTTAATGAGGTTCATAATAACATAGAATACTAGCTATATAACTATTAATTGCATATTACTCGATGATGTGTAGTCTATGCAACGGACTAAGTAAACACTGTAACTGAACGATTATTTATGTGAGAAAACTAAATGCATTTGTATAGTGTAACTTGTGCGTACAGGTTGCCGTTTCGATTTTATATGCATTGCGTCTCATATGTTCTGTGTTGTGTTATTTTATTGAAATGCGCTAATTCATCCACTTGAAAGTGTTTTGGTTATACTGCATAATATTACAATTATTAATATTATCTAAATCACCATTAAATCAATAATACACTAATTTATTTCATGTTTTATAAATACCTAAACATCTGTATGTTTAATTTTGATCATAAAATAGTTCATGTACATGAAATAATCAGAATTGTGACTTCATCTTACATCCTTTTGTCCAGCAGACTCGACAGTTACCATAAACAGGGTCTTAAGAGTTTCTGGACAAATCATTTGATTCTGGACTTGTCATATTTTTTTTTCAACGAAATCACATCCAAGGGTTGAATTTATAATAGCTATTTAGAGATTGAGTCCTGCCTAGTATTAATTTCAATAAAAAAGTTAAAATAGAACCCTATTTGAGAGTCAATCTAATACTTACATTACATTGATAAATTAAGGCAAATCCTGAAATATTTTTAAAGTGCATTTTTTTATGAAATATTATCCAGCAAGTATTTAAATGAAACGGTCTTATTTAAATACAAATCATAACATGATGATATTTTTCATGAAACATTTTTCAATGAAATTCAATTGAAGGGTCAAGATAAAACGAGCTAATTTAGGTGA